TAAAATAATATAAATAATTTATATCTGGATGTGTAATAATTTAATATTACTTTGTGATGCATTTATTTTATGTTAAATACCAGTTACCCGCGTATTCGTCCAAGTGGAATTTAACAAAAAAAAATTTTTTCAATTCGCAGAGTTTACGAAAACTTAAAAATTATATACTCAACGTAAAGCTATAAGTATAATAATGCTATAAGTATAATGTCATTTTTCTACTTTGTAAATCAATGTTTCTTTTTTGTTTTACTTTTTTTCTTTGTTTTTTGTTGAGCAAAGGGTGTTAGGGACGCATGACCTTTGACACTGTCGATAAGGTGGGACTGTAAAATCATTAGAATCAAAGGACATGAACGCGAAATGTCAAGAGTGAAAGCAATCTAACCAAACAAAAAGGTTTGATACAACTACTAGAAATCGTTGAGACAGAAGGCTCGTGAAATAAAATAATCACTGTTGAATAAAAATGATCCCTATTGAATAAAGATAATTCTTATTGAATAAAAATGATCCCTATTGAATAAAGATAATCCTTATTGAATACAAATAATCCCTATTGAAATAAAAATCATCCCTGTTTCAATCGGATATTGTTCATTGGTTTTAATTTATTCCCATTTAATCCAAAATTACTCCTTGTAACATTAGCTATTTGCCAGTGAAAGTACCGTCAAAATTGATCCAGCTGTTCCAGAGATTAGCTGGAATGGAACAAACAGAGAGACAGACAGACAAAAATTTTAAAAATTGATATTTTCATATACGTACCGTATATACTTTTAAATGAAATTAGTAAAAAAAGCTGTTAATTTCAAATTCCAAACAAACACTTCATTTTAATTTACACTGCTGGCCACCGTAAATGCAAAACCAAGAAAAACAAGAGATAGCACACCAAAATTTATTTTATATATAACATGTTGACCAAGTATCAACTGATTAAATTTATAGACTTCTGTGAAGTGTGGCTCCTGCCAGAATCAGTAGCCAGAGTAGTCGCCATTGTTGGAGATCACCACTGCCACACCCTCGACATTGATTCAAAGGGACTTTGGATGTGTTCTTGGGGTGTGTCCTGGCCGTCCGTATAAACCATACCCCCTACTGAAAATGATTTCCTTTGAAGAAAAAAGCTTTGCTTATTCTTTTTTTCTCATATGCACAAATTGTGTTTTTTTTCCTTTTGTACACAAATGCTCAATAAAATGCATTTTTTCTGACAAACATGTGTAATTTATTCTCATATAACCTACTACGTCTGCCGACCATATATCAATCAACTAAAAAGTTTCCCAGCCACAAGATCCAACTAAAACCGCAATATCCTTTAATTATTTTGAGCAGTATATATATATATATATATATATATATATAAAAATATAAAATAATCATATAGTTATAAACCTAAGATAACTAAAAGTAGGAGTAGGCACACAGTAGAAAAGACAAATTCTGGCCTTAGGAACCAGGATGTATATGATTATGTATGTATATGTATATGTATATGATGATGGGATGTATATGTATATGTATATGATTATATATTAAAAAATTCTTATATTGGATTATATATATATTTATATATATATATATATATAACTATACCCATAAATTCAATAATGTATTTTCAAACAATTCACAAGAAATGAAAAAATAAATAATGTTCCCTTAAAACTAGTTTTCGTAACTATAGTCTCATAGAAGTCTTAGACTTCATATTATCCGCCCCCCCCCAATCTTGAATATCTCGGTATATACAGTCAAATCTGTATATAACGAACCTCTATAATACAAAGTTTTGTATATAGATGACTTTTTCCTGGAACCAAGAACATTTCACGATTTTCATCGCAAAATAACCTCTATAGCGAAGTGCATTTTCTATACAATGAACTTTTTCTTTTGTGATTCAATTTTTTTTCTCTCTAGTTTTAATGTATTTCTGGACATTTCAAGTTATTCTCTCTTTAACGCATTTTATGGTGGTCATAAACCTTATATAAACTGGTTATTAGATCCTAACTCACTGAGAGCAATCTAGTTCTGGACGTTTCATCCAAGAAGTGCAACCTTTAACCCCCATTGTCCAGTTCACTAGAAACATCTTCGGTATCCCCTTTTATCCTCAGTGAAGTTGTCCCATGTCCCTGTTTTCTAGTTATAAAATAATGTACGTTTAATATTTCTTGTGTGCTTTAAATTAGAAAAATTCCTCCAAATTCGTTAATTTTTGTGTAAAATTATTTTCTTATTATTGAAAATACAGTGTATTTAGTCTTCGACATTTTTTTTTCTTGTTTTCCTTGAAAGTTTTTTTTTATAGGTAAGATATATAAAATAAGCAAATACTATTTTTAATAATTATTTTTATTTGAATAATTATTTTTAATATATAGTGTGTGTTTATGAATTTTTAAAATTTGTTTCGTGTGGGTCTATAAAGTATATTAAAAGATGAACTTCTATACAACGGATTGTCCATATAATGAACTTTTTTCCGGTATTTAGCGTCTTTGTAATATAGAGGTTCAACTGTAATTACAAACTAATAATCTTACACTGGATTCTAAGGGGTCGTCAATGAAACGGGAATGATATGTTGTCTTAATTATATTCTTCATTCAAAATGTAGATTCACACAGATAGGTAGAGCGAAAGAACTATTTTAAATGAATTGTAGCTTTTTTAAAACTAGGGATACTTTACTTCGTCTATTAGATTCCAAAAGTTATCTATACACCTATACATATAAATAAAAATGAAGTGTCTGTTTGTAATTTGAAATTAACAGCTTTTTACTAAATGCATTTAAAAGTATATACGGTACTTATATGAAAAAATCAATTTTTAAAATATTTGTCTGTCTATATGTCTGTTTTTCTGTCAGTCTGTTTCTTCCGGCTAATCTCTGAAACGGCTGGACCAATTTTGACGAAACTTTTGCTGGCAGATAGCTAATGTTATAAGGAATAACTCAGGCTACTTTTATTACAGAAAAAAAATAGGGATCCGCGAAAATAAATTTAAAACCAATGAAATGGTGAAATCCGTTTCTAATAGGAATTTATTTTTTCAATAGAGATTATTTTTATTCTATAGGGATTGTTTTATAACGCGAGCCTTCCGTCTCAACGTTTCTAGCAGTTATATCAAACTTTTTTGTTTGATAAGGTTACTGAGACTCGCGATATTTCCCATTCATGTCCGATCCTAATAATTTTAACAGTCTTCACTTACCCTTGCTTGCGGCTTCGTTTCACCCTACCCAGCCCTCACCTCATCGGCAGGGTCAAAGGTCACGAGTCCCTCTCCCTGCTTGCAGATTCGTTTCACCCTACTGTTAGTAAAACCTGTTTTGAACTGTTGCATCATTCCAATGATTTCATTTCTCTCAAAAACACTGAGCAATGTCAATTTTTCTATAACTTAGACAGCATTTAAACTTAAATCAGGAAATTTTTGGGTTTTACGTCATTTGACTTCTCACAAGGCTCCGCATTTAAATAGAGGTAAGCCAATTTCATACCTCTATTGTTTATTTCATTGCCAAACACTGCACAAAGCAGTAAAAATAAATGTTTGTCTTGCAAGAAGGATTGTACAAGTTTGAGTGTGCGGTGGGGGTGGCGATCGCAGAGCCTTCTATCTCAACGATTTCTAGCAGTTATATTAGCAGTTTGATTAGGTTGCTTCCACTTGCGACATTTTGCATCCATGTCCTTTGATCCTAATGATTTTACAGTCCTTCCCCATCGACAGTATCAAAGGCCATGCGTCCCTCTCACACTTTGCTCAACAAAAAACAAAGGAAAAAAAAGTAAAACAAAAAAGAAACATTGATTCACAAAGTAGAAGAATGACATTATACTTATAGCATAGGTATTTCTTTAGGTGGAATATATAATTATTAAGTTTGCGTAAACTCTGCAAATTGAATAAACACTTTTTTGTTAAATTCCACGTCGATGAAGTCGCGGGTAACAGCTATTTAACATAAAATAAATGCATCAGAAAGTAATATTAATGTATTACACATCCAGATACAAATTATTTACATTATTTTAATGCGTTTATTACACAAAATTTCTAACAATGTGTTAATTTTTCTGAGCAGAAGGAATGTGATTTCAAAAATCGATCCATAAGAGAGTTACTGGGGGTTATAAGTAAAAAAAAATTATCAGCTCTTATATTTACAGACTTAAAATTTATCAAACATGGTTTTTTGCTCAGCTGAGATAATGCAAAAAGTTGTTTTATTGTTTAATTTACAATTCACGTAAAATTAACTTATTAAAAACTTATTTATCCTTCAGTCTGTATTGCTTAAATTTTCAATTCACCCGTGCAAAGAACGGGTATACCAGCTAGTTCCTTATAAATTACGTTCTTTTGAAGGAGAAAAAAAAGCTTCATTTTCCTCCAGAGATAAAGAGAACATGTAACATATTTTTTAGTTATATTTTTCACAACATTGCTAAATGGGTAACTCATGAATGCAACTTTTGATTCTATCTAGTAAATTCTTGTAAACGTCTTTCAAATTTAAGTTGCAGTTTCATTCACGGTGTCTCTTTTTTCATGGGTGTTTCTATTATCTTGATAACCACCTGTTTCTTTTAGTATGCGCGTCTAACGTTTTATATGAAGGTGGTCAGCCCAAAATGTCTTGGGGGTCCACCGGTCGATCGCGATCGGCTTAATGCCCACTCCGGGTTTACAGAATTTGATGCATGTTAAACTTTTCGATAACTGGGGTATACAGGGAGTAATCGGCTCTAAAGGGCAATTGTGTCTTATCTAATGATGCAGATTACAATGCCCACAAGTTATTTAAAAATATTGATAACTTAAGTTAAATTAAATAATTTAAAAAATTAGCTTTTTACAACTAAAATAATTTCATTAAAAGTATAACTTATCAGTAAAATGAGGAATTATATATATATATATATATATTGTTTTATTGGAGGATAAAAATAATCATAATCATGCTGAGGCACCGACGAGATTCGAACTCGTGATCTCATGTTTACTAGACAGGCGCTTTAACCAACTAAGCCACGGCGCCTTGATATACGCGTTCAAAGTAAGTTTTGTACGATAAAACCTAGATTCTTTTCTTTTTTTTTTTTGAGTAAGGGACTTTACTGTTCTGTTGGGCTCGAAAGTCACGTGGTGTGTACCGTTTATATTGGTGTCACGTGTATGTGTAATGTATGGTATCAACTTGCATATCGAACATGGAGTTCAAAATTACAAAACAATTAGTTGTATTTAGGGAATAGTGCCGGACAGATATTGGCAGGCGGAAAAATGTTTATTAAGTGTGCTTTCCATGTGGAGTAAATGTTATGGGCCATTACTGAAATATTTGCCTCATCATTAAAATTAGTAAGATAATTAGAAAAAAATGTTTAAATGTATAAAGAAAACAAGTAACCTTGTACAAAATCCGAAGATTTTTGTGAGCTTAACGTTTCTGAAGTTTGCCATGTCTTGTAAATTGTTTATATACCGAACGCTGTCATAGTTTCTACAAATGGTTATTTTGATTTCTTACCACTCGCTTTTAATAATGAGTCAAAAATTGTGTTTTTACACACGCACAGCTATAAAAATACTTTTTTATAGTATATAAGGATTGCTACATGTCTTACACAAACTTTCATGCGTCGCACACGCGAGTGAATGATATTAACGTTGCCCTGTAAAGCAACACGAGGGCTGTCGGCACAGTTTCGTAATTTTGAAATACAATCGACGAGGACGACACCTGAGCTGCCCAACTCTCTTCTAACTTTCCCCACCATATCAACACACAGTACAAGATTGATGTGTGTACAAGAAAGTACAAGATTGATGTGTATACTGCAGCTACAAACATAGCAAGCTGATGACTGCATTCAGAACATTTAAAAAAAAGTTTCAACAGTTTATTGTTTGTAGTAGTGAAATTCAAAGTTCTTAACGGATAGATTTTTTGAATCCATTGAAACGTTACATTTCAATATTATTTCCATGCAACTCAATGCAGGAAAATTAATTTCTCTGTTAGAGAATTTTATAAACATAACCACGCATGTGTTGTTGAAATAATTTTATTACTAAGTCAACTTTAAAAATGCCTTATTTTTTGTTTTTATGTTGTAATGTTATTGAGTTGTTTAAAATACGAACAATCTTTATTGCGGACCCTATATTTAAAAAATGTGTAGTTTACGGAATTTCTTTATGAATGAGTTAATTTTGTTCCACTCATTAATTTATATAATTCTTATCTTCAGATTTTAATATAAGCTAAACATTTTTAACGCTAGAAAATTGCTAATAATTTTTTACAATCAACTATCACATTTATTTATCTCCCTCTTATTAATAAAGTAAATGTGTTTCCTTTAGAATATTTTCTAAAAGTAAATACGATGACATAAAGGTATTTCCACATTTCAATTAGTGGTTTTAATAAAAAAAATTGTAATAAAATTATATCTCCGCCCCCTTTTAATTATTGTTGAAATAAGAGCTATAATATATTAATGCACTTATAAAATAAGCCTAAAAATGTATAATTGCGAGGACTTTCTTCTTCAAAAATTGTTAAATCGTAAGAAATTTTGAAAAAAAAACTTAAATATCCATTTTTTTTCTTGTACATAACATAATTGAATACGTAACATTATATTGAAAGTTTACCACATTATAAATGAAATTTACAGATGATTCCTTAATGAGGTATTAGATTTTGCATCATAATATCATAAAACATAATTATAGTTGAATGCAATAACTTTACTGATGACTTGGTTTGATTTCTTTTATTAACACTATATTTTGGAGCTACACGAAGGCTTCTGACGTCACACCTGTTTTTGAGCCTCAGTCAAAACATCAAGAGTGATAAGTATGACTATGGGTTATCCCTCCACAACACGCCACCATGAAGATTTTGAACCTCTACAGCTTAAACGTGCACAACTCCTTCTAAACGGGGGCCTTCAACAGCACCAAAACTCAAACAAAGGACTCAAAAACGTTGCCCACGAATTCACGTCCATGACCTATTATCATTTGCTGCTTATGAGTTAAGAATTTTGTCATTGCAGATTGTAATTCTGATTGTGATTCGGCTAATGCCCGTTGTTGATTTTGGCTATGAGGGGAATATATACGAAAGTAATACCAATTAAAATTTCAACAATATCTCATGTTTTGTTCGGGTTGTTGTAGTTAGCGGGCTCGTGACTATGATAAAATTGATCTATTTTGTAGCGTAGCTTATTTGTAGACCAGCTGCATGTTCCCCATGTTTTGTTTCTCGGCACTCGAGGCGAAAATATCACATTAAACGCTTCGTATTGGTTTAAAGTTCGGTGTATGGGCATATGAGTTGCTATCAGCTCTCAGTTCCGTATCTGGATACGCTATAATGACGAGTGACCAAAGTGGATATGTTTTCATGCTGTTACTTAACTGCTTGACTTTTGATCGAGCGGCGAGTTGCCAGAGGGCTTTTCCAAAGAGGTGGGAAAATTCGCAAAGTTCAGAAATTCGGTGGAAGCTGGAGAGCTGATAAACAGCTTCCTCCTTGGTAGTTGAATGGTGAAGATAGTGATACTGATTGGTTGCCCAGAAATTGCTATTATTTTATGCATATAAAAAGTGGGAGAAGTGATTTCCAGAACGGGATGTGGAAAAAAGTTTTATCATCCCAGCTTTTCCAAGAGGCACCCTCCTAGAATTTGTTCACGCTTTATAATGCTTCATAACGAGCGGTGTTAAGAACACAGTGCTGCTTTGATTATTTACTAAATATTATTAAAAATGGGATATATTTAGCCAATACTGTTGTAATAATAAAAATTATTGCATAAATAAATAAATTAAGGATAATTAAAATGTTTCCTCTCCTTCAAAGCGAGCAAGATATAGGTCGCAACTGTTGTTAGCTGCAAGAGTTCAATCATTTAAGTTTAATGTAACACGTTACCCTGCTATACGTGTGGTTGGAAATGATTGGCATCTACTGTAAGTAGGATATTGTCATAAATTATGTGTTACTCGACAGGAAGATACGCCAATTTATGATGATAATGAAGCCGCGTCCAGGAGGAATTAGATTATGCCATGGACATGGAGCACAGCTCTTGCCAGATCGTCTATTACTATAGACATGGAGGCTTAAGACCTTGTCGAAAGGCACTACGATATGTAATGATGCAAGGATGGCAGGGCAGCTAAAGATATGAGACCTTGCCAACTCGTTATTATGTCAGTTGTTGCAGTTCCAATATGTGTTCGTTCCATTAGAGTTAATTTCCATCCCCCTGTGGCTTACTTTTCTTGGAATGACAATTGTTTCTGATATTGCTCAGTTATTATTGATAAAGCAAATTTTTTGGGAGGGGAGTATTGAGTTTTGTCATAGATAGTATTTAGCCAAAACATTGATGCTAAAGCAGCGTTTCTCAAAGTGTAGGGGGCGCCCCCCTGGAGGGCACAAGCATATCGAAAATTTAAAGATGTTTTTTTAAAAAAATAACCGGAAAGAGAAGTAAAACAAAATACTTTCTTTCATAATAAAAAAACATTACACAACACTGATATAATTTATGTTTATCAACTGGCGTTTTTCCGTCATCAAATAGCTATCTTTGTTCCCAAAACCAAATTAAAGGAAAAAAAAACATTTTGTTTAATTTGCTGTATTTCCTCAATGAGAAAATTTTTTATTACGTTTTAACACAAAATATTACTCGTTAAAAGAAAAAAACATAGGCTCTGAGACAAATTCTTAGAAGATAAACAATTCATCACTGTTATATACTATACATTAGTTATAGAAAAAGAAAATGAAGTCATGATTCACTTTTCAGCCAGGCTGCATAATGCATTTGCTGATCATTTGATTGACCTTCAAATTTACTGGTATAGTTAGTGTTCTACATTAGTTCCGTCCCATCTTTAATGTGTTCGTTTTTCGCTTAGGGAAATCGTAAATAATAAATAGTTTTATGATATTAGGAAAATAATTGATTGGTTTTAAGGATTATTTGGCCAAGATTTATATTTTTATGAGTATTCTCACAAACATATAAAGCATAGTGAAAAACGTCATAATACTTTTTAGATCATCCGTATTTTTTTCTGAATACACTTTTAACCCGGGAGTAGTGGCGCGGGACATATGTTATCTCTATTGAAGGAAGTTGAAATAATGTATATTATTCATGATTGAGGAACGCGATGAACATGAAACGAAAGGAAAATTTTCAAATGCTTCCTGAAGAACTCCATCAACTTAAAATATGAAGCCATAAGTGTACCACAAGGTTCAGTTCGCCTTGTCAAAAAGACACAAGAAAGAAAAAGTTCAACTTGCTATTTGTTGATCACCAAAGGTGTTTCGAGTTCGAGCCCAGTACCTCTAAAGATCCGCCGTGTAGGGGTTAGATGCTCGTTAAATCTGTCGAGAGCTCAAACGTCCTCTTTTTGGAGTGGTGAGGTAGTTAAAAGAGGCCAACTCAAGTATCGTTCTCGTCACTTGGCCTTGGTTCACAAATACGAGGTCTGTCTCCAAAGACCATCGTGTAGCTGAACAGTGGGACGTTAATATTCACTCACTCAATCATGAAAGCTCATTAAAACTGCAATAACTTGAACAAAATATGACAGCTTTGCCAGCAAATAACATTTCTGTAATATTAGTGAAAAGTGTCTCTGATTTGCGTCTGAGTCACCCTGCACTACCATTAGCGTTAGTATCAATTGCGCGCCTGCTCCCTGGTTAAAACATTTTGAAGTATTCTCGATATATTTCGATATAGTTCTTTGATATATTAAAAAGTAACACAATTATTCTTCATTGGAATTTTATATTATTTTTTCATTATTTAACATTAATTCTAAATGCTAATTCTGTGAGGTTTAAAATTACAGTTCTTTTAAACAGTTATTTTTAATTATAGCATTTATCTCTAAAAAATCATTTTACATTTTGGAATACAATGTCATGCACGCAATTTTACTCTCCTTGCCGTTCAGCTATTATATCAAAAATAATGTTTTATT